ATCACTTCAGGGAGCGTCCTTATTAAACCATCATTCAACCTCAGCCTGATTTTCCTACAGCTAATAATCTTTATAGCAGTTTCATCTCCTAATAGAACGTTTCTTCCATTGTATGTCTCACACTCACAAAACTATTCCTTCTAAGGTGTCATATAGAATGATGCACCAGTATCAACATACCAGACGGATTGGTCTAATCCAGCCATACATGCAACAACCACATACATATCACCATCTAATTCCCATTTGTACGAGGTTTTAACTTCTTCCCCTTTACCGGTTTGTTTCTGCAATGTTTCTTGAAGTGCCTGAATTTCTGACATCTCTAGCATTTAATCTTACCTTTATCCTTGCTCTTAGATCCACTTGGCGACTTTCCCCTATTGCCAAACTTATTAGAATTCCTGTCAAGGTTTCGTCCCCTAACAGTTAAAGCATTCCTAGACAAACCCTTTGAACCTCTTCACCACATATCCTCTACTACCAATGTAGAACATACAGATTCCCACAACATCTGTGTCAATCCTCCACCACCAATCGCAACAATCAAGTTGTCCCACGTATCAAGCAGCAAGCATAACAATGTCACCACTCAGATTCGATGAGTTGTACGACCACAGCCAGCAGTTGATTCACTAGAGTATTAAACTCATCCAAATGTGTAGCAAAAGAATCCCCATCATACATACAAAGATTGTAGAGTTTCTTGCGATGGAGCAACACGTTCACCGAAGATTTACTCAAATACATATTTTCTAGCTTCTACCATAAACCCTTAGTCATATCCTAATCCATCATATTCATTAGAATGGAGTCCTCAAGACATATGCGAATCAAACCTCTGGCTTTTCGATCCATCTTGTCCCATTTAGCAAGTGCGGCACGATCAGCCGTTGATAATTCTCCTCCAGATGTCGTTGCAAGTTTAGACCCAAGCGTACTTGACACTACAGTTCCAGATGTTTCACTCATCGTAACAATGATTGTCCCAACTATCGACCTATGATTCACAATTGCACGCCATAGATCCATATCAACGAGCAGATCCTCCATCTGCAGTTTCCAAAGCTCGAAGTGTTTGCTGTCAAACTTCTCAATCTCAACCTTTGATCCCACCATTTCAAATAAACTCTTAAAAAGCTTATAGGAAAAGCTAAAAATTTGAACTTCTCCCATGAACCTTAAAATAACTTACTTATAATTCTATAAACACTTCTAAAATGCAACCAAACAATATAAACAAAATTAAAAGATACTTATAAATACTTTTAAATAAACTCTTTTAGTTAGAAGATAAGTCTAACCAAAGAGGTTTTAAAAGAGAAGTTTGATCAAATTATAATCCTTAATTATTCTTCATTATATAATATAATTATTTTTAAGGAAGTAATTAATCTACAAAGTCAAATTTATAAGATCTAAATTGATGTTGTATCATGAACGAGCTAACGGTGCCATGGAATGACTTAGCAGAATTCATATTTAATACTCTTATAAACTCATTCATCTCACTGCTCTGGTTTTATTATTTATTAAGAGTTAACGACTTTTCCCCACCCAAATAATGGTTTAATGACACTTTCCCACCCATAGATTTTTAAAATACCACTTTACTGCCTAAATTTATATTTTGGCGATGAACAAAGAACACATCAGTCCAAACTGCTAGGGCTTTTGAAAAGGAGAGACCGATGATTGATCAGAATTTGACTTGGGAGGGGTGGTTGCACAAACCTTAATCGTTCGATTGCCGACGATTGGTGAGGTTGGTGGGAGTATGGTTTGAGGGGTTTTGGTGAGTGATGATCGGGGAAGAGAATAGTGGCAGTGTGGGGTCGCAACGATGCCAAAATCGGAAACATAATAATAATTTGGGTAGTAGAGTGTTATCTTAAATGTCTGTGGGTTAAAAAATATTATAAAACCATTATTTGGGTGGGAAAAGTCATTTACTCATTTGTTAATTGCAATTACCGGCTGCTGAAAAGAAGAACATTCCAACTTCCATGTGCCACTTCTCTCTCATTTATTATTTAATTATTTAGAGTTGACGACATGTTCCCACCCAATAAATGACACATTAATTTACGAAAATATCCTTAGCCTCTTCCATTGTTAGCTGGGAGCTGGGAGTCTTGTACGACAATAAATTGAACAGGTGGTGAGTGATGCTGCGACACTCAGGTTGGATGATCTGGAAGATACCAGCGGCCAGAAAAAACACAACACAAAGACAACCAATTAAAAGCCACTGATTGAGCACCAAAAACAACAACGATTTGCAGAGGAAACCGTTGCAAATCGCAATTGTCCCACGGTGGAAAGAGTTGGACACATGCGACAAATGGCGAGCATGAAAGGTTGAGGGAGGGCTGGGTTTTGAAGAGCAAAGTGTGGGGAGTCGAATGGTGGTGGTAGGGGGCATTTTGGGTCACTGAATCGGCCGAAAAAAAAGCCAAAAAGATGGGGAATCATCCAAAAACTCAAGCGGCGATTTCCGGTGATTGGCACGTGCACCAGGCTTGGGGTGAATGAATCAAGGGTGAGAAAGGCTCGAGGAAGAGGATGGAGGAGGCAATGAGTTTCACGACGATTTTCGACACCGGAAACAACCAAAAATTTGGCTTGAATGTCGGTCGTGTGAATGGAGGTGGTGATGGGAAATGGTGAGTGATGACGGCAAATGGAGGCTTGGGCTTTGTAAAGAAGGTGATGGGGATTCCGTGGGTGGTCTCGGGAGTGATTTTGGACGTCGGGATCTGCCGAAAAAGGGCAAAACTGCTGCCATCTCCTTGCTAATGTGCGCCTCCCCTTTCTTTTCTCTTCTACGGTGGCCAAATATTTGTTGACAATTCTGCCGTCACTAATAACGAGCATTTGACCATTTTACCCTTCCCCACAACAAAAATTACTAACCTTTGTGTACTAAAAGGGTATTTAAAATGTGGGTTGGTATGAATTTGTCAATAGATCATTTTTTTCGGTAGAAACATGTCGTTAACTCTAATTGTTTATGCCAATCATGCCTATTTTTTTAATGGCATCCAATTAATGATTAAGTATTACAATTACTATGCTAATCATGCCTTATTTTTATTACATAACAAATATAATTTGTATAATTTTCCTCGGTAAGGTTTTCTTAACGTTGACATCATGATATTTTATTATCATTTTATAGTCTACCTTGAGATATATTTATAGATAAAACCAGTTTTCTTTAACATTAAATTGGGAAAAAAATATATCATTGATGTTAATTTAGTGTCCTATGATTGATATTCAGTAACGGGGAGTTATGCCTTTCCTTAAACAACTTAGGAATATTATTAATGTATGGAGGTTGATCAATAATTCATATTATTTTTTATGTAATGTATAGGGACTTGATCAATAATTCATATATTTTTATGCGTTGTGTAGAGGCATGTACTCAATAGTTGTTATATATATTAACATGAATTTTTAATATATTTGCATGTCCTGATCACACTAAAAAAAAAATAACTCAATTATTTAGATCTCTATTAGAAGTCCAAGATTCAATTTTCCTAACACGAACCTTTCATTAAGCGATCTGTTTTCATTTGAATTGGTTCACGTAAAAGAAGATAGAAAAAAAAAATCATTGGTAAATGGAAAAAGATAATAATATAGAAACTCTTAAATACAAATTGATATGACACAAATTGGATGGATAAATTCATATAAAAATTTTAACTTAATAAATAATAAATAATAGGCAATGAAAGAGTTATTTCACATCAATTTGTTGGCTAGATAGGCCATTATCTTCCTTGGTAAAGGTTAGGAGACTAAGGGATTAAGCCACCTCAGTGTTGAAGGGGAGATTGCTGCTATATAAATTAACACTGTAGCAGAGGTTAGAGGTTTGAGTCACCTCAAACTATGCGTGCAAGGACGATGGTTTAATGTAATAAAAATGCATGTCTACCAATAACTACAATGTCTGGTCTACTTTTATGTCCGATCCTAACAAGTGGTATCAAAACCTTGAAGCTATAAGGAGGGATTGTTAGCTAAGAGGATAAGCATCCATGTCAAGGCTTGGTCATGACACCCTTAGAGCCCTAAAGGAGGGATTCCTGCCAATCGAAGGAGACCAGAGTCAAAGTTGAGTTGTCTCCAACTATGGGCATAAGACTGATTGTTTTGTTAATATTATTATTTTTTTAACCTTGATGTAAAGGGAAAAATTTATTGTGCTATCTAGAAACAGAAGCTATATGTTAACATTTAGTAGCAAATATTCAAATATGTTAAATTAAATAATATGATACTTTCAATGACCTTGATTCCCAAATATAACTAATGAAAAAATAAGTGTGGGATAAATAATGAGTTAAGGACATTGATTCCCAAATTTTTTTAATAAATAACCATATCTAAAAATTATACTAGTTTATGAATATTTACAAATTATTTTTGTTATTTTAAAGGCCTTAAAAGAAGATTTTGGTCATTTAGTCAAACCTCAAACCATTATTGCCATCAATGATGCAAATGGAAAATAAAAAAAAACCATTATTGCCATCAATGATGCAAATGGAAAATAAAAAAAATAAAAAAGAAGATATTTTATGCATCTCCAAATGACTCTTTATATAACATAAATTCTTTATTATAATAATTTTTTTATATTCAGAAATTAATAAAAATGCTATTTATTTATATAAAATATACTCTTTAAAATAACTATTGGAAATACTATTGACATGAAACTGATGGCTATAAAAAGATGACTAAAGTTACACCCTTGCCCTTTATTCGTCTTTAAAACCCACACACTTTGCTACTTCATCGGGCCTTTTTCTTTCTGTAAAGATGAATAACATTCCTTCTTTTTGTAAGAATCTAAAGGATTTTTGTAATTATTCAAGTATCAGAATCGCCTCTTTTAACAAATCTGTTTTGATTTTAGTTTGGTCATGTTTTCGTGTCGTGATTGTCAAAGTACATCCTTTCTGGATTCAGCTTTTCTATTTCTTAATTTCCTCTCTAGCAGGATACTTAGCTTTGCGGTTCTCAGATCCAAGAACCTCCTTTCGCCCAAAAAACTTTGATTTATTCTTCACCTCCGTGTCCGCATTGACAAATTCTAGCATGTCAACAATCGAAATGGAGGTTTTCTCTCACTTTCAACTCATCGTTTTGATCCTTTTGATGCTTATAGGTGGAGAAGTTTTCGTCTCCTGGCTTGGACTTTATATAAGTTACAAGTTTCCCAGAAAACATTTCCTAGGAAATAGAGTCTGTTCAGATTATAACATCGACCTTTCTTCTTTACAAAACGCAAATTTTCAAGACCAAATTGAGCTGGGTTTGGCACATTCTTCACATACACAAAACCAGAATCCAATTGTTATTACAAATACTAATAGCTCAGAAGATGATAATGAAAAGTCTTTAATTGATAATTCAATTAAATACTTGTTTTATGTAGTATTAGGTTATCTTTTAGTTGTTCATGTAGGTGGAATTAGTATAGTTTTTTTGTATATAAGCCTTGTTCAAAACGCAAAAGAAGTGCTAAAAAACAAGGGCCTTCATACGCTAACGTTTTCTGTGTTCTTAATTGTTTCAACTTTCTCAAACTCTGGATTCGTCCCTACCAATGAAAACATGATGGTTTTTAATAAAAACCCAGGCCTCCTTTGGGTTCTAATCCCACAAGTCGTCCTTGGCAACACATTGTATCCATCTTTCCTGCGACTTCTCATCTGGGTTTTGAAGAAGGTGACAAACCAAGGGGAGTTTGAATACATGTTGAAGAATTACAAAGAGATTGGCTATCGCCACATGCTATCTGGCGTTTATTCTTCTCTTCTTGGTGTTACGGCATTTGGGTTCATATTTCTTCAGTTTGTGCTGTTTTGTGCCTCGGAATGGAATTCAGAAGCCATGGATGGTATGAACACCTACCAGAAACTCGTTGCTTCATTGTTTCAAGTGGTTAATTCGAGGCATACTGGTGAATCTGTGTTTGATCTCTCCGTAATTTCTCCAGCTATGATGATGCTCTTCGTTGTTATGATGTAAGTTCTTGGTTTTATTCTAGAAATTCATGATATAATTTTTAATTAAATTAGCAACTGTCATGCTTAATATACAGTAGATAATCAATATTTTTAAATTTTAATGTATAGTTTTTAAATGATAGGTGCTAAGATTTAACCTATGAAATTAGAAGTTTGTAAAACAACAATACATATATATATATATATATATATATATATCTATATATTTCTTTTTAGTAAATTAGTTATATAATTAGAAAGTAATTCCTATAAAACTTTGGTATGAAAGTTTCAGAGGCCCTTTCTTATATACCCTTCTGAGGACAATGAGCACAACAAGCAAATACAAAAATCGCAGAAAAGAAAATTATTGATTTGTATATGTTAATATGAGAGAAAATGATCAGATAAACAATGTTAGAATCTTTTGTCACATCTTCTCTTTGGCCATTCATGGATACCACATGTTGAAGGGTAAACTTGGAACCCTTTCTTTTGTGTTATCAATTAAAAAACCCATCAATCTGCATAAATATTTTGTACACAAGTATTTCCTATTCATACTTTGGAAGTTTAGGTCAATTTTTTTTTTTTTTGGTAAACCCAATAATTGTCTCTCCTAGGATAAATATAAGATTCATGATAGTTCTAACTCCAATGACTAAAGGGCTGTCATCTAACCATAAAGGAGAATTTATCCCAAAGATATTTTCAAAATCTCTTTAGATTGATAATTTAGGGAAGTATTTTTCCAAAATTAAATACATTTAATGTTTTCAATCTTAAAAAAAAAAAAATTCTCAGGTTTAAATTAATGTCTTAAGAATTACCTGAAAATTGTATTCAAAATACTCCAAAAAAATGCACTTTCTAAGTTTTTGTTTTTATTATTGTTTGTTCTTTTAATCTAATCTGAACTCGTTGACCAAAATATTAAAAATAGAAGCATCAATTCCTCTAACCCATTAAAATTATTAGTTTTTATAGAGAAAATTATTAGAATATATCAAATAAATGACAAAAACAGATCATAACTATTTTTTCCTACTTTGTTCAGGTATCTCCCACCCTATACATCGTTTTTACCGGGAAGATACCGTAAACAGATTCAAAAAATGGCAAACTCAAGAAAAAGGGAAAGAAGAGTTTTGCTAAGAATCTGATACTCTCAACTTTTCTTATTTAGTCATCTCGGCCATCCTGGTCTGCATCACAGAGAGACAAAAAATCAAGGAAGACCCCTCAACTTCAATGTGTTAAACATCACGTAGAAGTTATAATGTAAGAGATATTTGAATATATAATTTTAATATTGAATATAAATTAATTTTCTAAAAGGAAAATAAATGCCTTCTGTGTAGTGCATATGGGAATGTTGGGTTCACCACTGGGTACAGCTGTAACGGCATTGCTCCTGAAGTTCATGCAAAGACACTTGGTATGGATTTGTTGGAAGATGGAGTAATGGTGGAAAATTGATACTCATTCTGTCATGCTCCTTGGAAGGCTAAGAAATTCAACATGAACGTGGTAAGCTTGGAAGCTAGAATAACACAAGTTATAACTGAGATCTTGTATAATTTACACAAGCCATATTATGTTGGCTTTTAATTTTCTATTAGTTTTAGGTTCTGCATTTATTCCTTCAAAGAAGAGAAAATTAATTGGTATAGACATCAAATTCTGTTGGAAAAGGAGTTTTCTAACTCATGTTTAACTAAGATGATTGAGAGGGAGTGATTGAAGAGAGATATCATTGCTTGTCAATTTGGCTTGCTCAAATGGCTAGGGGTCACCCCCTTTTATAATGCTCAAGGGAGACTTCTTGCTCCAACTCCCAACTAACACCTACCTTAATAATATCACTACCGCCTTCTTAATAATGTTATCTAACACTTCCAATAAATAAAATATTTTTCACAATTCTTCAACTCCCTGATAAATAAGATATTTTATAAGATTTCTAGTTACAAGTCATGGTTTGAGCCAATATATAGGTTAAATATGGACTTTACTTGTCTTAGGAAGAAATATTAAAAATACCACCCACACGTTGACCTTTTTCATTGTTGTACCTTCCCCTTATCTTGCAGTTGGGTTTTGGATATGATAACCTCATCTTGAGGCTCCTTGTAGCCTTTCTCCACAATCTCCCATGTTTTGGCTAAGCATTAGAACTTGAGGAAACCATCTCACTTACCAGCTTCATGATCTTTATAGTTTTGATATCACTTTGTTAGAAAATGAGCTTTCCTAAGATAGCTGAGAGGAGAGGAGTATTGAAGAGAGAATTACTACTTCTGCTCCAAATTTAGAGAACAATATTGGCTTCTGAAATTTGGTTTATTCAAAATGGTGGTTTATTCAAAATGGCTAAGGGTAACCCCCTTTTGTAGTATTCAAAGGAAGTCTTCTACACTCTAACTCCGAATTAACCATTCCTAATAATTCTCTACCCCTTTTCACAATTATAGTTTATTATGAGATTTTTTACAAATTTTTTTAATATAAATATTATTTGCTAACTTTTTTTTATTTAGTTTCTCAACTATTTCCTTGAAGTTTTAGAAACGATGTTGAATTAGATCATGGATTGTTGTATACAAAACAAAATCCATGTTGGCAATTCATGTAATTCCATGTCAGCAAACACAAAGCTGGTGTAAACAACAAAAAAAAAAAAAAAAAAAAAAAAGAAACCTAATAAAAACACTTTTGTTTAAAAACTAATACACCGATTTCTTGGTGTAAAAGAAATAACTTCATGGTCTGACCATTAGGTAGCTAAGGAAAATTGTACCTAAAATTATGAGAGGATTTTTGTGATCTGAACTAGCTTACAATGACATTATAAAATGAGAACTCTACAAAATTTTACAATATTTATTTGCCCATGAGAAGAAGCTTGGTATATTATTTTCCAGGTCAAACATTTCTAGTGCTTTATTTATGCGCTATGGCCACCGAAAACTTAGTCTAACTTATCTAAGTAGTAATTTCCAACGCAGTTCCTTCAGTCAAGTCAATATCTGATTATATATCACTTAACACAAAATTAGTAAAATATAACTATTTCTTATAACTTTGAAATTAACTATTTGTTGACTGCAATATTTCTTCTGTTTTGAAAAGTTTTGGTATATGAATAATATATAGCACGAGTTTGTCGTACTACAGAAAACATTTCTTGCATTTTTTTTCCCTTTTTCCTTTCCTTTCTCTAAAGTTGCAAGTTTTTCAATTGAGAATTTACAAGAAATTTTATTTGACACAAAAATATTTCTTCATTATGAGTAGTTATAATTTTAGAAATTTATTAATTTAATTTATTTAATGTCAATGTTTTTATATCCGGATTGGGCTTTGACCCGTCTGATCGGCAAGTTTGATTGATGGCATCATGCTGACATCAGCATAATATAATAAAATTTTAAAACTGTAGTAATTAATAAAATGCTGACATCAGCATGGCATCATTTGAATTTGAAATTTTGAAATTGCACTTTAGTAATCCGGATTAGCCACTGGTTGAACCACGGGTCAATCTTGCCCAATGGTTAAAATAAGTTTTATCCATACAGTGTACCGAATTCCGATCGGACTTGCCAGGTTTTAAAACCATGTACAATATATGTCTTCTTCTAAGTAAAAATTCCAAAACATATCCAGCCTAAAGACAGGTCAAATTTACAATCAGGTCCACATCTTAACAAGTTTTTAAAGATAACAAGGATCAACACACTCTGGCGGTGTGGAAAATCTCGTTTCCTTACAGAAAAAGAAATGATAAACAGCTTGGGAAACAGCAAAGAAAATTGTTATAGACAATGTTGACGGGAAAAAAGGTCTGAAATCCTTTATTTTATTTTTTTTAGACCTCAAGGAAGGAATTTTATTGAACAAAGGAAAAATTACACTTAACACCACTAAACTCGCAATGCAATTTAAGGATTTAAATTTATGAAAATATTCCCAATGTTGATTAAGGTAGAAAAGTGGAGAAGTTTAATTAAGTCTACATTAACCAATATGGTGGCCGGATAATAAGATTAATTTGATTGAGGTAAAGATTAATATATGATTTAGACTCTGTATTTGTTGAAAATTCTAATAAAAATAAAACATATATAATAGGGAGAAACTATGAGAGTTTTTATTCTAACGCGGCCTATTGACTAACGCGGTGCAGAAAACTACCTGTAAAATTCTCAGCGAGTGAGATTTTGTTATAAATTTCCAATGGCTCATCAACAGAAAAGAAAGAAGAAAAACCTAAAGTGAGAGCGAGAGTGCAAGTGAGATTTGAGATTTTAACGATGTAGTGCGAAACACATACATATTTGTTCATAAAAACAACTCTACGGCTGAAGAGATTTCTCCTGGAGTTCCAAGACCAAGTGGTTTGGATCTCTTTGGACGTAACAATCATTTAGCTAGTTCACTACCAGGTGCTAATGGGGATGGTGTTGAACAAGAACAACCTCGAAATGGAGTGCGAAATACATACATGTTTGTTCATGACGACAACTCTACGGTTGAAGAGGTTTCTCCTGGAGTTCCAAGACCAAGTGCTTTGGATCTCTTCGGACCTAAAAATCATTTAGCTGTTTCAGCAGCAGAAACAAAAAATAAGCATCCATCTACTCTGAAGCTCTTTGCAAAAAGAAAAAAATAGTGAAGAACAAGATCCTTGTCAATTTCAAGTGATAAAAAAAATAAAAATTCTCTGGAGGTATAGGTCTTTTGCATTTTCCATCAAACTCTGGGTATGTTCATTTGTATCAGTTATTTTTGAGAAAATTTGATATTTTTTTGGCAATGTCTAGATTCATTAGTTCTATCAGTTTAAATTCAAACACAATAAGCTATGAATTTTCAAATATTCAAAGCCCTAAAGTTGGATTTTTTCGTAAGAAAGTGCTCATATGTATGATAAATGTAATATTCAACCATTTACTCGATGGATGATTTTTGTTTCAAGTTCAAATTAAGACTACTCTTTGTTGTAAGTCTTCCATCCAACTCCTAGTTCTATCTATAAATAAAATCCTCATCCTAAAATAAACAGACTCTAAATAAAGTAAAATTTTTTTAGAGTTTGTTTATGGCACGAGGCGGTTCATTGTTTGACTTAATTAAATAGAAATACATTGAAAACACAAATTTAATCAAAATTGTTAAGTGTTGAGTTAAAAGAAAAAGAAAATGCATATTGAGTTTGTGAATTTCGGATGTTGAGTAGATTAAAGGTTCCAGGTCAGTTGTTATAAAATAATGCTGAAACTATCCGTTGTTGAACATGGTTTTAAAGCCTCATGTCATAGGTTTGAATCTCATATTTAACTAAACAAAATATAAATCTGACTTTCATAGAGGAGTTTGTTGAACTTTAAATTTAATCGGATCAAAGCTTATTGTAATACCCCATATTTCTAGTGGATTTTATTTATGTGAATTTGGGGGGTAATGTGTAAGAATTGAAACTGTTTGGGAACATTAGTAAGAAATAAGATCTAGTAGGACTGTTAATAGTTTTGTAGGAGGACTTGAGTACAATTAGAAATGTCAAAATCTTTTAAGGGACATTTTTAAATTGATTAAGACAAGGGGTCTTTGATATTGTGACATGCAAGGCACATGCAAATTTCTAGGGGTGAGACTGTATAAAACAGAACTTTAATTAAAGGATTGGGGGTGCAAGATGTAATAATCAGAAACTAGGGGATACATGCATAATCGTCCACTGCAAGATGGATTAAAAAAATGAATTGTTGGTAGCTAGTTTTGCCAATGTTGGTTGAAGGATTCTATTAATTTGAAATGAGAAGAAGAAGAAGAACGGGAGAGTGGAGAAAGAGAAGACCAAGAGAGTGAGAGGGGAAAAGGTGACAGAGGGAGAAGGATTTTTGCCTTACCTTCTTTGTGTAAATTGAAAGAGAGAAAAACAATATTTGAGAAGTGCTTTGTAGGAGAAGAATTTTCGGAGAAATTTTGGGGTAAGGACAAGAGTTAGACATGCATTTTCAATCCATTATTGTATTTACAATCTTTCATTTTCTCTTTGATTAGATCATAATCCTTATAACAATTTGAATCAAATAGGTGAAGAAGACAAGAGGACCTAGCACTTGAGTTGAAAGCAAGGGAAAAAGTCGTGAGTGGACTAGTATTGCATAAACAATTCATGTTTTCAAAATTCATGCTTGAATGGGTTAATTCATACACTTTAGTTACTGTCCTATATTGGTTTTATGATATATTTAGCCTATGGAAGGGTTGATTATTATTGGAAATATGAAACTAGTAAATTGTTGGCTAAGTGATGAAGTACAAATGGCATACATGTGATTTTTTTTTTTTTTTTTTTTTTTTAATATGGAGTTGTAGTTACATGTAAACGGCTGCCCCTTTTGATTTAAAGTGTTGCTGGAATTTACAATATTTATGTTGTACTCGCTGACCCTTAATTTGAAATGATGCTGGAAATTTTAAGTTTACTATCATTGACTTGCTAGAATTTTGTTTGTATTGTGTTCACTGTTATTGGAAATTTTGGGGCAGAGATATTGTTTGGGTATTGGATTTATTATTATGGTGGGCTGGCCTATTAATTATTAATAAGGCCTAGTTATTTATTGGGTATGGATTTTACTATTCGGTGGGGTGGCCTATTAATAATATGGCCCAGTTTCTTTTGTAAACCCTTTTTATTCTTTGGTTTGGGCCTTAGGGAAAGTCCCCCTCTTGAATTAGACTCCTATATTCTGAAGGGGGGAAACTATCATGTTTTCAGAGTTTGGGGGTTGATAAGAATCTAAAAGTTTACAAGTTGACTTAAAGATTTAAAAGTACGAGGGTTGATTAAAAAATTTAAAAATATAAGGGGTAATTGAACATTTTACATGGAGATTAATTATGATGTTTTTTTAAAGGGATTATTAAGAAAAAAATTTTCAAAAATATTCACCCTCTCTTGGGATCCCGAGTCCCTTGGAGCGGCCGGATCTGATGAGATAGGATACCTGGGAGGGGGAGTGACATATAATTAAACTTTCCAACACAATTTAGACTAATTTTGCCACTGGCATGATGGATGCCACCCAAGACTTTTCCTCTAACTGTCTTCTCTATAGTACCCATTCCCAATCTTCATTTCTCAAAGAATATGCGTAACAGTTTTAAGTTACCATGTAACTGGTGTTGCTATTAAGCTCAATAAAAATTACTTAACATAATTAAGGAAGTCTTGCTGATAACTTATGAAACTTTAATTTAAAGAAATCAGAGATAATAACCCCCAAATAGATTACAAAAAAATTTCTTCAGCAATGTAGAACCTATCTTTCAAAACAAATATATAACTCACTCTACTGAATCATTTATTGGATCAACTTCTATAACTACTGCCTAACTATCTGTAGTGGAAGCCGCTATGGGAGATAAATATCGATCAGGCCACACTTCAAATATGCATATAATCTGGAAATAAATGGGTGTTTAAGATCAATTATCAGCATTTAGGATACTTTTTCATTTTTTACTGAGAAATTTAGCAACCATGTCTATAGCATATTGTTAAACCTACTTCCGAATTCTTATGTAGGATAGAAACAAGAAAAATCTTAGCTATGTACTGTAAGTAATATTAATCACTATGTTTCTGATAAACATTCATGCAGCAGTCCGAAAAATTGAGGAAATAGAACTCCATAAAACTAGAAAACAACTGGGCTTGAAAGTTGAAAACACTCACCTCTTTTGGTACTCAGGGTCGATGCAACCCAGAAATATGAAGCTTCAGGTGGGAAAGATTGGATGAAAATGCTCTTTGAAAGAGAATCTGAAGTGAACCATCAAGTGGAGAGTCTAATCTAATCTCTCAAAGAGAAAAATATATTTTAAACTGAATGAATAAAATTTTACTTAAGCATCTTGTCGATACGGGAATCCTGGTATTGATATTCGCCTCCAAGAAGGAAAATCTAGTATTATGTGACTGTATGCATATGCATGGTATAAAAAAAGAATTAACATGGCGTAACCAATATAAAAAGGAGTTTTAAAATTATGGAAAGTTCAAAAGAGTAATGAGTATTTTTTTTTTTTTTTTTTTTAATTAAGTAGTATCATTGACAGAGAGAAAAAATGTACAAAGAAGCCATAAAAAAATGACCATCCTACCTCAGGAAGATCTTGGGAAAGAAACAAAACACAAACCTAATACGCTGAAAACCTGATCTCTCTTGTTTGTCTATCTTAAACACACGAAAGATAAGACAAGAGGAGAGGAGCAAGCAAAGGAACACAAAGACAAAGACATCCTACCATAGGACATGCCTTGGGATAGGATTCAAAAAAACTTAAACACGACTAAGAACAATAATACATAACATTATTCCTACTTACAACAATCCTTGGGTTAGGAAAACCCATGTTCGGCACATGTTGGTTTTGAAGATAATCATAGGTAATCTCCAAATCTTCACCGTTTTATATTGGCCATGAAATATTTCATTTTATTGAGGTCATAGCCTATCTCTCACTATGTTCTGAATGTGGTTGTGAATGTCCAAGCATCCAGCAATATCTTGTCACATAAGTGGTGAAATTAGGATTTTAATTTTTAATTGAAGAAAGAACAATAGATTAACTTGGTGATCGATGATTAGAACTAACTAGAAGTGAAATTGAGTTGAGTTGAGTTAACTATTTGACTACTTGAGCTGGCTTGATGCTACAATACCGAGTTTGAGTTCGAGTTCAACTGAGGAATCGAGTTCAAACTTGAATTTGATACTTTAGGGAACTTGAGCTTGAATTCGAGCTCGGTTTATGAGTTTTCAAGTTCGAGTTCAAATTCGAGTCCAAGTAATTGAAAAAATCAGAAAAAATTCCAGTAGACAATGAAAGATTGCCATCTAAAATTTGCTAAAAATTCCCGTGGGATCAACTCTAGTTAATATTTTTAATTAAAAATCATTTTATTATTATCAAACACAAAAAATAAATACAAAATTAAAGTTTATTAACAAATTTAATAAATTAAAAAAATCAAATCCATGAACAAAAATTTGAAATTTTTTCTTTGAGGTACCCAGTGACTGGGGCCCAGTCCCACTACAACAAAATCCTCCCTCCATCACTGTATTTCCCATCAAAGATTTCAATAAACATAGTAGGAAAAAAAAATGCAGGTGTTTGAAGCTAGGAGGAAGACCTGGAGAGTATTTAAAACAACCTCTCAAGTTTGAATTTAATTAAAAAGCTATCAAGTTTTAAAGTTCTAACTAAATAGTCCTATTATTGATTAAGGGTAATTAAACTTGATTAGTGCTTAATTATGATTAAAGAAGTATTATGTATCTTTTCAAAATTATACTATATTCCCACAAACCCAAATTGTTGCAACAAAACCAAACACCTTCTTCTCCTCCCGCCATTAACGCATCTTTACTTGCATCTTCTTCTTCTTCCTCCTTCCTGTACATCTTCTTCTTCCTCATTCCTCTATATCTTCTGTCCTCCCCTTAAACTTCTTCTTCCTCCACCATTAACATCTTCTCCGGCAAAGATCCCCCTCCTCCTCTCCTGACATTCATGTAAGTACGTGTATCTCCTTTTTACATTTTATATTAGATTTACAAAGATTTAATAATGGAGGGGTTTGGGTTATGA